GGGGGTTTGTGTCCTGTCCCCAGATTTTGCCGCCCCTCAGGGTGTCCCCTCACCCGCCCGCTGTCGTGCTGTCGCGACAGAGCGCGCGTTGCCGGCAGCGCCTGAGGGTGAGGGGGGTTCTGTGGTGTCAGCGCGGCCCCTCACGGCTTTTTCCTCTTCGTGGTGTCCCCCCCTCAGCCAGACGCTGTCGCGACAGAGCGTGTCGGGGGGGGGACCCTGCGGTGTGCCCCCTCACCCACTCGCTGTCGTGCTGTCGCGACAGAGCGAGCGCTCCCGGCAGCGCCTGAGGGTGAGGGGGGGGATTCTGTGGTGTCACCGCCGCCCCCTCCCCCCCCCCCGCAGCCGCTGTCGCGACAGAGCCGCGGCGCCCTGAGCTGCCCCGCTGTGCCCGCAGGCTGCTCCGTGTGCTGCCTGTCGCCCTGGTCGCGACTGCAGGAGCTGTGCCGGCTGCAGCGCCTGCGGTGCCGCGCGCTCGGCGTCACCCGCCGCAACCTCGGCCACTTCGAGGTGGAGCTGCTGTGCGACTACCGGCGAGTGCGGGTGAGGGGGGCGCACCCGGGACCCCCCGACCGGGACCCCCGAACCGGGACCCCCGAACCGGGACAGCCCCCAAGACCGGGACCCCCAAACCGGGACCCCCGAACAGGGACAGCCCCTGAAACCGGGACCCCTAAACAAGGACAGCCCCCGAGACTGGGACCCCCAAACAGGGACAGCCCCTGAAACGGGAACACACCCAGGACCCCCAAACAGGGACAGCCCCTAAAACCGGGACCCCCGAACTGGGACCTCCAAACTGGGACAGCCCTCAAGACCGGGAACACACCCGGGACCCCCGAACTGGGACAGCCCCTGAAACTGGGACCCCCAAACGGGACAGACCCCAAGACTGGGACCCCCAAACGGGACAGACCCCAAACCGAGAACCCAACTGGGACCCCTGAACCGGGAACTGACCCAGGACCCCCATAAGTCCCTGGACATTGGGGTCACTCCAGGACACCCCCAGACCTCACGAGACCCCCCCTGGATGTCCCCAAATCCCCTGGACTCTTCCCCCCCAATTCCTGTGTCCACCCTGACCCCCACACTTGGGGTGACCCCTGTCCCCCACACCGGGGTCACCCCTGACCTTGTGTCCCCCAATCTGGGGTGACCACTGGCCGCTGCCACCCCTGACCCTTGTCCCCTGCACTTGGGGTGACCCCTGGCCTTGTTCTGACCCACATTTGGGGTCACCCCCGCCCCCCCTCCCCACACAGGACGAGGAATTCTACCTGGTGAAGTGGCGCGGTTACCCCACCTCCGCCAACACCTGGGAGCCGCGCCGCAACCTCCGCTGCCGCGGGCTCCTTCAGCAGCTACACCGCGACCTGGCGCGCGCCCCCGGCGCTCCGGTGCGGCCGGGCCCCCGCGGGCTCCCGCCGCGCGCCGTCTCCTACCTGGCGCAGAAAGCCGAGCAGCGCCGGGCGCTGCGGCGCTGGGAGCGGCACCTGAACCGCACGCGCAGCCACCGCGGCCGCATCGCCGTGGAGAACGAGGTGGACCTGCACGGGCCCCCCCGGGATTTCGTCTACGTCAACGAGTACAAGGTGGGCGCGGGCGTGGCGCTGACGCCGGTGGCGGCCGGCTGCGAGTGCCGCGATTGCCTGGCCGAGGCCACGCTGGCCGGGGGCTGCTGCCCGGGCGCGTCCCACAACAGGTTCGCCTACAACGAGGCCGGGCAGGTGAGGATCAGGGCGGGGCTGCCCATCTACGAGTGCAACTCGCGCTGTCGCTGCGGCGCCGACTGTCCCAACCGCGTGGTGCAGCGCGGCATCCGCTACGACCTGTGCATCTTCCGCACCGGCGACGGGCGCGGCTGGGGAGTGCGCACGCTGCAGCGCATCCGCAAGAACTCCTTCGTCATGGAGTATGTGGGGGAGGTGAGTACAGGTGTGACAGGTGTGATACAGGTGTGTGCAGGTGTGACAGGTGTGTGTGTGATACAGGTGTGTGCAGGTGTGCGCAGGTGTGTGCGGGGCTGGGGAGTGCGCACGCTGCAGCGCATCCGCAAGAACTCCTTCGTCATGGAGTATGTGGGGGAGGTGAGTACAGGTGTGATACAGGTGTGTGCAGGTGTGACAGGTGTGACAGGTGTGTGCAGATGTGCACAGGTGTGTGCGGGGCTGGGGAGTGCGCACGCTGCAGCGCATCCGCAAGAACTCCTTCGTCATGGAGTACGTGGGGGAGGTGAGTACAGGTGTGACAGGTGTGTACAGGTGTGATACAGGTGTGTGCAGGTGTGATACAGGTGTGTGCAGTACAGGTGTGGGGTGGTTTAGGTGTGGTCCAGGTATGATAGGGTTCAGGTGTGAGAGCTGTGACACAGGTGCTCCAGGTGTCCAGCTGTGCCAGGTGTGCCCCAGGTGTGCCCAAGTGTGAGAG